GGAGAGATGAGAGACTATGAAATGGAGAAAAACAAAAAGGGGAAGAAGAAGAAAAAAAAAAAGAAAAGAATGAATAAGTAAAAATTAGAAAGAAAAAAGAACAGCAAAGCTCCCAGTGATCCCACTGGTGTGGTACGAGGTCTGGGGAAGTTGTTCCCAGTTGTTGCAGTACAGCCTGGCTAGAAGGCATGGAGGAATTAAGCGCAACGTATTTGGGGGACATGAAGAGAAGGAAGGTATAGACAGATGAGAAACTGAGTAATGAAGAAAGACAAAAGAGGAAAAAGAAAACAAAACAAATTTTAAAAAAAGAACAAGAAAAGCCCCCCAAAAAACAAAAAACAAAAAACAAAAAGCACGAGAAAAAAAGAAATGCTCTCAGGGATCCCTCTGCTGTCTGCGCAAGCTGAGGGGCTAGGTCCCAAGCCATGTAGCACTGCCCCACCAGAAAAGGCTCCCAACTTGAGAAAAGGAAAAGAAAACAAACAATTCAAAACAAACAAACAAAAGCCCTGGGATCCCACCAGCGTGGCAGCCCAGACTGGGAAGCAGTTCCACACTCGAACGGAGCTCCTCAGCCCCCCAGGAAGAAGCAAAGATGGCGCACAGAGCCAAGTATTTGAGCGAAAGGAGGCGGGGAGGTGGTGAGAGGTAAGGAAGAAATCAAAAGAAGCAGAGAAAAGCAACACCAGCAGCCATCAAATGGCACTCAGGGAGTTGGTCAGTGCCAGTGCAAGGAATCCAAGCAGCCGGTGCTTCCCAGCCAAGAGACTGTGGCCTTGGGAAGCAGAGGAGGCCAAGTGGGGGTGAAGAAGGGTGGGGGTTGGGAAAGCATATATTGCTGTTTACCGGTTGTTCTGTCTCCTGCTGGAAGCTCCGTGAAGCTGCTTTCTCGTACCCCTTATTTGCTGGTCTCTGATAGGAGTCCATGATGGCAGATTCGTGCTGCATTAGCTGATAGGGGACCTCTCCATGTATGTCTCCTTGCTCTCTGTTCGCTGTCAGTTTCTTATTCCGTTTGGTGCTTTGCTGAGTTCTTTATCTCTTCATTTAAGGTTTAAAGTTTCAGGGTTGCTGTTTTCTCTGTTTTCCTTAGTTTTTTGGATCTTTGCTATAGAAGGACGGCATGGTGCTTCTGCCTAGAGCGCCATGTTGCTGGAAGTTGTATTAATTGTTCAATGAGAAGCTAGTTTGCTCTGTAAACCTTCATCTAAAGTACAATAAAAAAAAGAATTGAATATGAAGTAATATGTCATTTGAAATGTAAATATCACTCACTAGTAAATGGGTAAAGAAGGTGTATTTTTTTTTTCATTACAGATAAATACTGCAACAAATATGGACGACTTAAACTCAGCAATAAATGAATGCTATAACTACCTAAAGCTTATTGGTTGTCTAAAAGTTACAAGGACTTTAAGTGATAAATATCACTTGGTAAATGACATACTTTTCTACCATGTCATTAAGAGAGTCCAAGCACCCTTTGAAAGGTAAGTTGTTTATAAGTGAAAGATTCTCTCAAATTACATGCTTAAAGTGGTTAGTTGTCTTTTAATGTGAGATACACTTGGTAATGAATGTAAAGGTTTGTCTTAGAAAAAAACTTTAAATGCTATTTTAAAATAATGCTTTAAAATTAACCTCTTATGAATGTTTACTTTTTTGGCCTTAATATACAGAATTGTGTAAATGTATGTGCTTAAATGGGAAAGTAATCTTTACTTCAGTTTATGTTTTTAAGCTTATAATTATTTTTCTAAATTAAAAATTATGTAAAAAAATTCTTACTTCATAAGCCAACTATATAGTTCTATCTCCATTCATTTAATAACTATTTATTGAGCACCTGTTTTCTACTGGGTAATAATAGGTACTGAGCATTCTTTGATTAACAAGGTAGATATGGTTCTTGCTCTTCTTTAGCTTAAAACAGTAGTCTTCAAACTTTTTTCCAGTACCACGTGAGTTTTCAAACTTATTTTATTTCCTTGTTTTCTTCTGTTTTTTTAAATAATGGAAAATATCAAATATATATGGAAGTAGAGAGAATAGTATAACCATTTAATCACCACCCAGATCTAACATTTATGAACTTGTTGTGACCAATCTTATTAACTCTAATATTATTTTCAAGCAAATACTAGACATCATATCATCTCAAAAGTGATCAATACATTGTTGTTTTTAATATCAGTATCATTAACCCCTAGATTTAAATATACTTGCTGTATTTAAAACCATTGTAGTTATTATCCTTACTGAAATTCAAATAGTCTCATCTTTGGCCAGTGTGAGCCTCATTATGTTGGTTTTCGTTTTAGTTCTTTTTATATGACCTTGAGTGGTCTTTGATAGCTTTCTTACTATCTGGTATGGCAAGTGGTTTCAGGCTCATTTTGTATATTCTGACCTACGGAATGCTTGTTTCTTTTAATGGGAAATGGTTTTTCAAAACCACAATGTAGATTCTAGGGATGTTCATTTTTGCCAGTATGGTCATTGCTTCTAGGCCTTTTCAGTGGATCCAGAATTAGGAACTATTTAGTTTTTGTTTTGTTTTTGCCTTCGATTTATTAATATAAAATACATCATGAATTTATACTGACACTTTTTCAAATTTCCTACAAGATTTTTTACTTAATTTTTTCTGTCTTTCATGTGTAGAGAATCTTCTCAGTTCTCAAGGACAGTGACAAATCAGAGTATCCACTACCCATTTGACTTATTTCACATTTCATAAACAATAGTCTCAGAATAACAATAGCAGTGTTAGCACCAATAACATATTATTTTTAAAAACCAATTATTTTTGCCTTTCTTTTTGTTCTAGAGCTATTTAATCAAATTACTGTGTTTTACAGTCATTTGGAATAATCATTTTATTTTCTGTTTTTAGCAATTTTATTAAAATTTTAAAATTATGTAAAATATTTGTGATTACAAAGTCAAATCTATAATGTATATTGAAAGAATTCAGCTGTATGATAACAAAGTGTATTCAAAGAAGTGTATCTTTCATCCTTATCCCTTCCACCATCTATCCCTGATGAAATAACCAGTTTACATTTGTTAGGGTTTTCCCTTCCATGATTTGTTTTTCTTTTTAATGATAGCGGATAAAAATATGTGTGTGTACGTATACATGTGGGAATTCACTTTTATTAACTAAATGGTAACATATTATCCACCCTTTTTTTTTCTTTTTTAACTTGTTTTTCACTTGACAGTATATCCTGGAGATTGCTTCATGGTATTAAATAGACATATTCTTCGTTTCTCTTTAGAGCTATACAAAACTTCATTGTTTGGATATATCATAGTTTATTCAACCAGTTCCTTGTTGATGGACATTTGGGATGTTACCCTGCACTCTTTTAAATTGAAATATAATATTGCATCATAAGCTTAAATAGTTGCAAAGGATACAATTTCCAATATATTTTTAATATTGTAATTTAAAGTAACACTGTTACATAACTTTTAAATATATCCAGCTGTCTCCTACTGTAAGATTCTTAAGTACTAAAATTTTTTTATGGCTAGAATTACCATTATAATTATGATTAGTATACAAAACAATCCAAATATTTAAAAATTTATTTGAAATGCATCTCTTAGATGTACAGAGTCTTATTTTTGCCGCCAAATAATTTATATACCTACAGGTAGATCTTTCTTATTGCTAAGTGAGAGAATTTATTGTTATTCAATTCTGTTTTTTGTGTTTATAGATATGAATAGTCTAGAAGTCAGGGAAAACTTTGCTCTAGAAGTGAAGTTTAAATTAAAACCAGAATTATAAATAGGAATTAGATAAAGATGAAGGAGGCAAGAGAAGAAAGCTAAAGAGTAACTCCTCCTTTTAGGTAAACAAACAAAAACTAAATAGCAGAAACAGTGTTTTGAAATAAATACCTGAGCTTATAAGAAAAGAATCCTGCAGATGCCGGAAGTAACAAGGAAACCAAAAGCCAAAGGGCCTTATTGTGTAAAATCAAAACCCTCAACTTGCCCCACACTTGGGTTTGGAGCCCTGTATGGACCCCAATCCAAAGCAAGGAAATTAACAGAGTAATTGGTTTTGGTACTGATAATACTACTAGAGTACCAGGCAAAAGCAAATATATAGCTGCTGGTGTAGGGAAATTTCTACAACCCTAGATTAAGAGGAATGCTGAAGATAGAGCAGTCCTCACTGAAGATGAGTTCCTAATACAAATGACAAAACACAAAAGAGCCAACCAATAAAGCAAGAATTGAGAGGAATAGAATACCAGGGATTTACATAACAGAATAAACTGAATGAGAGACAAGAAAGTGTTATTACAGTGATGTAAATGATAAACAAGGAATTGAAAAAGCAAAACGTAAAATGTGAAATCAAACAGTAATTCTAAATTTAAAAATGATTGTGGACTTCTGATTTCAGATAAAATGGAGTAGACACACTTTTCTCTATTCCTCCCACTAAGTACAGTTAAAAACCCTGGACATTATATACAAAACAAACATATAGAGATTCTGAAAGGTAGAGAGAAGACAGACCAGGTAGAGACCTTGGGACCTAAGAAATGACATGGCAAAATAAAATGAAGAGGAAATCTAGGCATTCTTATAGGAAGGAAAGCTAAGACAATTTGTGGCCAGCAAACCTACCCTAAAAGAATGGCTATAGGAAGTTTTTGAAACACAAAGCACATTTTAAAAGATAGAATCTTGGAACATCAGGAAGGAATAAAGAACAACAGAAATAATAATAAAAATATGTTTTCTTCTCCTTTTGAGTTTTCTAAATCAAGCTCGATGATTGAAGCCAAAATTGTAACATTGTCTGTTGTGGTTCTCAATGTATGTAGAGGAAGTATTTGGGAAATTAGAGTGTAGACGGGGAGAGTACAGTTTCTACACTTTACTCAAACTGGTAAGATGTTGACACCTGTATACTGTATTAGTTATGTATGTATAATGTAATACCCAGAGCAACTATTAATAAAATCTATACAGAGATACACTCAAAAATACTATTAGTAAAAATGGAATTAAAAAAATACACAAGTAGTACACAGGAATACAGCAAAAACAAAATAAAAAAATGATCTTGGAATGAAAAGATGGTGACTGTCGATGTGATAGGTTTACCTATTTGACAGTTATTTATTATTAAGGTAGTTGTATGATAGGTAAGATGGCACTATGGCATTATACAGTTATTTTCTTTGCTCTTAAAAAAGATATCTGCAGGTGATTCATAGTAGGGTGGTAGCAGAGGTATATAGAGAAATGAGCAAAGATTTTAGAAAAGAAAATTCATAAGACTCGATAATTAGGAATGGAAGAGTGAAGAGTTAAGGATGACTTTTAGAGTTCTAGCAATAACAGTTTAATGGATAATGGGGCCACTTACTGTCACTGAAGGTTCAGATTTTGGTGGTAGGGTGGTGAGCTTTCTTTTGGACTTAACAAGTTTGGATGCTTGGAAATCCTCCATGGTGCCGAGTAGTCTGTTGGCTCTGTTTCTGTGCTGAAGGTAATAGATTTTGTAGTGATAAGCATATACCTGCTAAACAAGAGGGTGAAATTGCCTGAACTATGTATTTAAGGGGAGAAGAGAAGATGGCATTGGACAGATTCATGAGGGACAAATACCAACATTTTAAGGCAAGTACAGAAAGAAGAAACCTGTAAGAGAAACTGGAAAGGACTGGCCAGAGAAATAGTGGGGAAACCAGGAGACTGGTATCACAGAATTCAAAACTGTTTTAAGAGGGAGGTTGTAAACAGCAGAATAACTAAAAATTTGGCAAAATAAGGACTATTGGGTTTAATGATGACATCTTTCATGACCTTATGGTAGTTTCTCTTGAGATGTGGATTGGAGTGGAAAAGAAGTGAATAGGAAATAAAGAAATGGAGACAGTAAATATAGAGAAACTTTTGTTTAAATAACTTCCTCTACATACATTTTGTCTAGGAAGGAAAACACACAAAGTGCTGGCTGGTTAGAGATGGGATTGAGTAAAGTTTTTTTTTTTTTCTCAGTCAAAGAGGGGAAAAATAAGCATGTTTAAGTGCTCTTGAGAAAGTAAGCAGAAAGGGGATATTAATCAATGTAGGAAGTGAGGAGGTAGGTAGGGGATCCAGAGCACATGTGGGGCTTAATCGAGGGGTACAGCCAGTGCTTCATATTCTTAGTTTTTTCTCATTTTTGCCAATCTTACAGGCAAAAATGGTGCTTCTGTTCTTTACTCGTTTGTGAGACTGTGCATTTAAAAAGTCAATTACTTGTATTTCTTTTGTGAATTGTGCATTTATATTTTTTAATCATTTTAAAAATTGTATTGTTGATCTTTTAGGAAAATGATTTGTATCAAGACATTTTCCAAATTTGTTTTGTCTTGTAAATTTCTTATTAGCAGTATGTAAGTTTTAAATTTTTATGTGGTTAAGAGTCATCACTCTTTTCCTTTGTAATCTCTAGAAAACGTTATTTTTATAATGTCTAACTTTGAAATGTAAAATACTTCAGATGTCTACTTCTTTCCTCAATAAAAAAAAATTGTTAGCTTAATTTAAAAGCTACTTGAGAAAACAAAATAATATAGGCAGGAGGATCATAAAGTATTTATTTTATATTAATGTATTTGCTTGTTATAGATTTGAAAGTATCCAATCATATGTAGTCTATCCACTTTTTTTTTTTTTTAATGTCTAAGTGAATGCGATAGGTGTTTGGGTTTTTTAAATCATTAGCTGTTTTGAAAAATGTCAGGTAAATTAGCTGGGAATGTTATTGTAATACCAAACACACATGTGCAAATGTTTGCTTATTACTTTCCTTCTCTTAAGTTTTAAGCAGGGTCTGAAAACTCTTGGTGTATTAGAGAAAATTCAGACTTATCCAGAAGCATTTTGCAGCATTCTGTGTCATAAACCTGAGGCTCCTTCTGCAAAAGTCCTTAGTGATCTTTTCACAGTCCACACCTTATCTGATGTACAAGCTTTGGGATTTTGGAACACTTACTTACAGACTGTTGAGGGTATGTGAATATTTTATTTTTTATTTAACTGTCTCAGAATATTTGTTTCAAGGTATTTATTTCTTTGAATTTTGTCTTTTCGTTTCATATTAGTAAGACATTTATCTGCCAACACCAGATTTAAAAAATTAAAACACAGCATAGAACATTCTTAGATCTAATCATCTGTTTCATCTTTCTCAATTTTAAGTTAAATTGAATTATTCTTTATCTATTGGCAAGGACTATGACAATGATATTAAAAGGATATTGTTCAATAGAGTGAAAAAAATTCAACTTTCAGTTGAAATTTTATTTAGCTAATTTTTTTTTTTTTTTTACTTTTGACACCATTTGGTTTTTCTCTTTTCATTCATTGAAAAAGTTTATCAAATAGTGATAATCTAAAAGTGGCTTAAGTATTATATCTCCAAAGATGGAGTTTTAAAATCCTATTGAACCTCTTAGATTATGTGATAATTTCTTATTAGAGAAGGCATTCACAAAAACAGTGAGTAGTTGGGATAAATGATTTTAATGGTCCTTCTACTTGAGATTCAAATAAACATTTATCAGATGTACTTATTTGCCTTGTTACTGCACTTGACTTATTTAGTCTGCCAGAGATGAACATGGGAGTTTCTTCCTTCCAAAATTCCCAGTCTAGTTAGGGAAGAGTCTATGATGGTAGCGAATATAACATGGATTTATTTTTATTTTTCTCTTCTTTTGGTAAACTTTTCAGGTGGTAAATCTGCAACAACAATGGAAGACATTCTTATTTTTGCAACTGGTTGTAGTTCCATTCCACCTACTGGATTTAAACCCACTCCTTCAATTGAGTGCCTGCATATGGATTTTCCTATTGGAAACAAGTGTAATAACTGTTTAGCTCTTCCAATGACCAGTACATATAAAGAATTTCAAGAAAATATGGACTTTGCCATAAGAAACACTCTAAGACTAGAAAAGGAAGAAAGTTCTCACTACACTGAACGTTAAAATGTTTCTTTGAACAAAGCGATGCTTCTTTAAAAGCTGCTATTGATAACTTTGTTTTGTTTCAGAAATCTAGCCATCATCACTTTTGAACAACTTCTTGGCCCAATAAAATTTATGATATGAACATAAAGGAAGGTTTTGGCTGTTTAAGCTAAAAAAAAATTTTTTTTTGTTAATGTGTACTATTCAAAATTGGTGATTTTTTCTATTTTCTTTATATACATCCTTTGTAAACTTCTATATAAATACTTGTAGAATGGCTGTACAGACTTTCTTCAAGTATGGTGGTGTACAATAATTAGAAAAAAAACTGTTTTATTCATTATTTTTATAAATTGTTAACTATAGGATGCCACAGTGGTTTTTCTAGTTTTAAGCAATTTTCAAATCTTTATTTTCCTTATCTTAAAGCATTAAATAGAAAACTTAATTGGTTAAGTCCTGTTATATTATGTATGTTTTTCAGGATGGCACCAAGTTGATTGTTAAAAGTGTTTGAATATTACTCATTTATATTAAAATAACCCTCACTGCAGTTAGATTTATACCTAATGGAAAGTATTATTATATAAAAAGTAGAATTGTACAAATCTTTTGGACTCTATGAGCATTGCATAGGCTTAAAAACACTTCTTCGGTAGATGGTGTAATTGAAAATGCCTAAGAAGGTGAATCATTCTTAAAATCTTGGCTTTAACCATAGGAATTTTTTTTTCCCTTTCTATATCCCATGTGTGATATTAAATCAGAGTATGTCTGAATGATCTCTAGGTTGCCATGTTGTAGGTTTGCCTATTTGACGTTTATTATCAAGATGGTTGTATGATACAGGTAAGCTAAGACAATAGCATTATACAGTTATTTTCTTTGCTCTTGAAAGATATCTGTTAATACTATTTCTATATAGTAGAAATAACGTTAAAAAAAATACAACAAAACAAAAAATCCACTCTAATCTCACCACACAGAGATAGCTACTGTGTTTGTGTATATCCTTCTACAAACTCTTTTAATACTTACATTTCCTTTCTAAACTCTTTAATAAAATACTTATGTTTCCCTTTTTTTAATTAATGCTACTGAAAGTCAAAGAATACCTAATTGTAACAAGATCATGTAAAACAATTTGAAAACATTCCAATATCAAAGTTATGTCTCAAAAGAAAAAAGTAGGAAAAAAAAAGACCTAATGTATCATCAAATATATGTGAGACAAAGCCATGGTTTTTCACCAAAGTCAATCATGAATTTGGAGATTTGGAAGGTAAAATGTTTGTCTTAACCACATTTTTGTTGCTACAAAAAGTACTTATGAATTGTCATATTTTTATCCTTCTTTCCAAGAAGCATCCTTAAATTAATGATATTTTTAAAGGAAAATATAGGCGTGATTTGGTATAGGTGACATATAACTTTAATATAAAAGGAAAACTAAAACAACAGAATCCTAGTGTAATTTTTTTTATTACCGCGTATCTTTTCCAAGTTATACTTACAGACCTAGCAAATTAAACTTTAACTTGAAGTTTTTAAGAACATTAAACAAGAAATTTCTTTGTGATAAATTTTGTTGGATTATTGACAGTAAGAAAAGAATTACCAAAAAAGTTTGAACATCTAATATAAACTTAAAACTTGTCATACAAACTTTTATCCCAAACATGTTTATGAGCTTGATATTTTATTTCTTGACCTCCCTAGTTTTTGTAAGCCTTAAAAAGCCATTTCACCAATGCAAACAAAGAAGCCTAATTAAAGCTGTTTTCTCATTATTTGTAGTTTTAATTAATGTCCTCTAGTGTGGTAATTAAAGCTGATAATACAAACACACATACGTTTGGAGGGAGGGGGTGGGTGTGCTTGGCTTGGCTACAACTAAAGATAGTATTTCAACTCCTTGTTTCACTTGTTTGTAGACAGGGCCTTAGGGATGAGATGTGTAAATAATACTTTAGGATATTCACACTGTAAAGATAAGTGGAAATACTCATTGTGCAAAATGAGTTCTGACTGAAGGATGGTCCATTAATATAATTTTTAGATTACTCTGTATTGTCAAGACGTATCAGAAACCAGCATGCCATTTTCTACAGTGTTACTGTGTTAAATGGTTGGCATTATGATTGCTGTTTGTTTTAGCCAGTGCAGAATTCTTACTGACATTGAATTTTACAAATTATGTTATAAACCTTTATAATGTGTATATGTATTTCTTAAATATTTTAATCGTCTAAATGCCATACATTTTAAGCTTGTTTTTCTATTCCTGTCAATATTGAGGAAAACCATAAATTGACCTATAATCCATTTCTACTGTTAATGGTTTTTCGTTAGTTTATATTTATTGTTTTCAAAAGGTTTTTAGTGTGGGAACTTCATCTGAAGATCCTTTCTACAGTTCTCTACTATTTTTGTAGTTAGTCATTTTCCTTTTTAGTATTTGTTAAGGTAAAGATTCTTTAAAATATCTCACCAGAAACTATATATATATAAAAAAAATAAGCCATTTTTAGCTTGGGTTAAGTAAAAAGCCTTCATTTGATTACCAACCTGAGAATTCACTTTGGCTTCTAATTTACACACACACACGCACACGCGTTTCCCCTGCTATCCGAAAGTAGAGTGTCCCTGTGAAAACTTTTGTAAGCCAAAATGGTGTACAGAGAAGCAATTACCATTAATTTATATGGCAAAATTTTTTGAGCATTCCCAAACTCAAAAAATAACATACCAAATAACACATAAAACCTAAAGTAACACTAACATATAGTAAAAGCAGGAATGATAAATACACAGCCTATATAAAGTAGAAATAATGAATGTACAGTTGTAGTTTCACTTACCAGAATGGGAAAGACAGCAAGCACACCGCAAGGCTAAGCGTAACACCCTTAGGAGCTCTTAGGCCGTTCTGGTAACTTAGGACAGATGTACAAAATAAATCAAGATAAAGCACAGATGATTGCAAACATAGTTCAAACCTATGGCGGCTCGATGCTGACATGCTGAGTGTAGTTCCTGGGGAAGGAGTTTGGCGAAGTTGCTCTCGCTGCTCATGGTGCATGCTGCCTCTGTAACGGCTTGCTGCAAAACAAATGCTGAACGCTATTTCCATGTTTCACCTTTCATAAAAGTGAAAATCTCTTCGGGTTTCAGTTAGTGAAAACAGGTGCTAAGGTCGTTCATAAAAGCAAAGTGGCTTAAAGCAAACTTTCGAAAAGCAGGGGATACCTGTATGTATATATGTTTGTTGTGTGTGATGTGGAGTTGATTCTGACTCATAGGGGCCCTGTAGGACGGAGTAGAACTGCCCCATAGGATTTCCTAGGCTGCCAGGTCTTTTCTCCCTCAGACCTGCTGGTGGGTTTGAACTGCCGACCTTTAGGTTAGCTGCTGAGCTCGTAGCCATTGCACCACCAGGACTTCTTTTAATTGAAACAACTCAGTGCTAAATGCTAAACAAAGACAAGTATAAAACCAATTTAAACCTGTTGCTGTCGAGTCAATTCCAACTCATAGCCACTCTATAGGACAGAGTAGAAATGACCCATATGCTTCCAAGGAGCAACTGGTGAATTCGAACTGCTCACCTTTTGGTTAGCAGCCAAGGTCTTAACCACTGCGCCACCAGGGCTCCAAGGGAAGTATAGTATGCAAGTCGCAAGATTTCTTGATGATTTTGCCTTTACCATTCGGTCATTCATTATAAGAAAACAGTAAGGACAAGATTTTATTTATAAATATGTAATTCAATCACTATGGAATATAGTGATTGTCACTTTTAAATTTTATTTAGTGCTTTATTGTTACTTTTATAATCTATTAAACTAGTTTTTATGCTCGTTATAATACAATACAAAGCCTAAGAACACATTTAATGATGGCGTGCTTGAATATATTTTACCTGTAGTTTTAGGAAAATTTGGATTGCCTGGAAAAGAATCAAGGAGCCCTGGTGGTACAGTGGTTAAAGCACTTGGCTGCTAACCGAAACATTGGTGGTTCGAACCCACCAGCTGCTCCGTGGGAGAAAGATGTGGTGGTCTGCTTCTGCAAAGATTACAGCCTAGGAAACCTTATGGGGCAGTTCTACTCTGTCCCTATAGGGTCGCTATGAGTTGGAATCGACTTGATGGCAGTGGGTTTTTTTTTCGAATTCCCAAACCTATTCCAGTACCTAGTATATGCCAGGTGTGCTAGGTGATAGTTTATATGTAAATCTATTTTCTCCTTTTTAAAAGACTGCTAGATGTAACCAAAGAGCATGACACTTCTAACACAATGAAGTTTTCTAAATGTGTTTATGCTACTAAATGTAAAGTGCTTATATAAACTAACTTGTTAATACTGAACAAGCTTAGGATTCTTACAAAACTGAGTAGATAAAAGATCCTTTCCTCTCCACATTTGAGAAGTCCTATAAGTAGTTGTTGGCTCATGCCCAGGAACTTCTCTAGAATGAGATATTAAAACTACCCCCTAATGCAGTGGTTAAGAACTTGGCTGCCAACCAAAAGGTCAACAGTTGGAATCCACCAGCCACTTCTTGGAAACCCTACAGGGGCAGTTTTACTTTGTCCTATAGGGTCACTGTGGGTCGGAACCGACTTGGCACATAACAACAACAACAATGTAAAATAGCTTGCCAGGGTAAATTAAAACCTAAAATTTGGATAAGTCAAATAAAAGGCTACAATAACTTAGGTTAACTAACACTCTATAGGCATAGATTATTTTTTTACATTCTAATAATATATAATAGATAACCTTAATCTGTCTCAGCCTTACAGGGATTATATCTGCTGCCATTGTTCTTTTGGATACACCAAAACCAAAAACCTGCTGCTGTCTAGTCGATTCCAACTCATAATGACCCTATAGGACAGAGTAGAACTGCCCCATAGTGTCTCCAGGGAGAGACTGGTGAATTCGAACTGCTGACCTTTTCGTTAGCAGCCAAGTTCTTAACCACTGCGCCACCAGGGCAGATATATTTTTCTATAAATTTATTGCCCACACTCTGCACATTTCTTGGTCAGGACTTTTTATCCTTTCCTATGTATATACTGTATATAGATGTTAAACATTATTTTTGTGTTTTATATTAATATGATGCATATAGTCTTGGGAAGGAGTCTATGATGGAGCTAAAATGGTTAGATGATAGATTTCCATTTGAAAGTAGAAGCACCTAAATGACCAAGATTGGGTTGTCAGATATTGGGAGGTGGGAAAGCTTATATATTTAAAATTCTATGGATACTATAGAATGAAGTAGAACTTTTCTATGTGACAGAGACTGTCATTTCTGTTTAATTATAACATGCCTAGTTCATTGAAGATTCCTTCACTTTTATAAAAATAAATAGTTCTGATTTGTGAACTTGAGAAGGAAGTGTTTTATTATAGAATATAATTTTTTAAATTAACATATAATTTCGAATGTTAAATTTTAGAGACAATCATTTCAGAATTTGGTGCAACTTCAGAATTAACATTCAACAGCTAATGCAATGTCATCAGTGAACTATTGGACATGGGAAATAAGTTGTCACTGTGTACCCATTTTTGATGTGCAATAAAATATGGGTTAAATTGGAAATCATTAATATTGGATATATTTTGTGATCACATGGCTTTAAGTGTACATTAGAACATTAGTGCTTTCTCTACTACCCTTACATCATCCCCAAGTAATGTTTTGTGATTTTGCAGTTCCAAAAAAAAACTATTTTCCATTTTGCACCAGCCTGGCTCATGTGGCCCATACAGGCAAAACACCAGCATAAAAACTAGACCATTTTGCCGAACAGATGAGTTTGAGTTATCTTCCAGATTTACAGCCGTGCTCCCAAACTACCTGGTTCCTGGAAAAGGAGCAAATGGGAGACACCTCCAGCTGCACGGGGAGAAAAGCAAAGGCAGGGACAGATAGTCCAATCAACAAGCAAGATAAACACAGGCTTACCTGCTCTTAGCAATCTGTAGTGAACAATTTCACTTGCTTTCCACATCAAAGGTGGTGAAACCCATGTGTAATTGTTCACTACATATAACTAAGCACCAAGTAAGCCTGTGCTTACTTTGCTTACTGGGTCATCCGCCCGTCAGGAATTATAAATTTGAAAAGAGGATTTGATTCTCTAGGAAGGTGCTGTGGGGTTGGTAGAGAGATGCCAGCCATACCTAGAAGCAGAATATGATGTGGTGAAAACGTGACATTGTCCACTATAGATGATCCTGTAAGCATCCTGCTTACCTTGCCTGTTGGCTAATCAGCCCCTGAGCGGAGGGACCTATCATACGTGCATACTTTCTTCCAGGAGCTTCATTTACTTTAGTTCTGTGTGTGATCCCTTACACACCTAGACAATTAAATGACCTGGAAACCCCAAACTAACAGTTAAGTGTTTAATTAGGTTCTTACCCCTACATCATACTGTTACTATCTGAGAGACGGTAGCTTGATTTCAAAAAAAAAAAAAAAACCCTTGCCAACGAGTCAATTCCGATACACTGCGACCCTGTAAGACAGGGCTGAACTGCCCCATAGGGTTTCCAAGAAGCGGTTAGTGGATTCGAACTGCCAACCTTTCGGTTAGCAGCCTGAACGCTTAACCACTGTGCCACCAGGGCTCCGTAGCTTGATTAGACAGGTTAAAAATTCCTCATATTCTGCATCTGACACTGCTAAACCATTCAAGTACAAATGCCAGGTCACTAAGTCCTGACAGGAGAGATGAAAACAAGGAAAGACCTCTCTGGAGGAAGCGGAGCCCAACCTCCGGGTGCCTGTACTGGCTCCGCCCCACCGGGCTATGCTTCCGGGGCTGTCGGGGCGTCCACGTCATCCCGGGCTCCGCTCGCCAGCGGGGCAGTGGATGGTGGGAGTCAAGATGGCGGCAGCGGCGGCCAGTATTCGGGAAAGACAGACAGGTACCGACTTAATCCCTTCTTCTCCCTGCGGTTTCATGCCTGCCGCGGCGACATCACCTTCCTCAGTTTGTCCCCTCCCTCTGCTTGTCGCCCTCACCCGGTCGTGGTGCGTGCGGCTCAGAGATAGACCTCGAGGAATTTAATCCAGTCCCCAGAGCATCAGGAGTCCCTCCCCTTTGAGTTTTTTGCGAAGAGATGCCTTTAGCTGGAGGACTCGTTACCTCAGCAGTGGGGCAGGAGAAGGGGCTTCAGGGGTAGGCTGGTTGTCTCCTTCCTACTGGGCCTCAGAAAGGCCATCACGATGGGTCTGGCAGCTGGCATTTTCGTTCCTGTGTTGTTAACCTATGGAATCTCTAGGTTTGTTTCTGTGTGGTTCAGCCCTCTCCCAGTTTTAATGTTGAAAGAACTCCATTTTTCCGTACTTCCACCACAGTTACAAAACTTGGGTATTCGTTTTCAAAACGGCCTACTTTCTGCCGTTTCTCTCCCTTGGACCAATCTTTTGGGTGTACCTGAAGAGAAATGCCAGGTGACGATGGTAGACTTAAACCTCGTAGTCACGTAGTGGCGTACTGAGTTGTATTCTGCTCTTCCCAATGGTTAATTTACTGTAAACTATCAGATGAAGTCAGGTATAACTTAAATATATGAGAATCCAGATACGATTTGAGGGAATACCCAAATATAACAAGATTCCACATGTACACTTACTCATTGTTAGATAGATCATGACAGATCATTTATCAAATTAGTGCCCTGAGTTTTATCCTCCTTCAGACAAAAGTAAATTTCTTTGTATGTGCTGTAGTAGCAGAGGTAAAAATTTTGTTTGTGCCTGTTGGAAATGTTTTGGGAAATAACTCACCATCAACCCCTAAATATTTGTTGAAGTTCTACTACACGCAAGATACTGTGTATGATTGATACAAACGAATGTGCAAGTCAATTTGGATAGATAACAGCTGACGTTTATTGAGCATTTATTTTTGCTAGGCACAATTCTCAGTGAT